TCACTGTGGTTCATAGAGGCACGTTTCCTGTAGTGGGTGGGGAGAAGGCACAGTGAGAAAAGGGAACTGCTACTTCTTGCTCCAGTGATCATGGCTCACACTGTCAGATGTTTGGGGGGGAGGGTTTCTACAATGCAAGGCATTTAAGCAAGAAAGTAAAGGAGAGACCTAACTATTGGGGGAAATCCCATGCCAATAAAGAGGTGGTGATTGAGGAGAGGGACAAATAGGAATAATAGATTCTGGGGGGTAAGGGCGGAGAGGAGAAGCAGGCAAAAGTGTGTGGTGGTGGTGGGGGAAGCAGCGGAGGTTGTGGTGTGAAATATCTAGAGACCGGGTGAACTGCTTGCTCTGGGTGATGGTGCACCCACTGACTTGAGTGTCTTTAGCAGTTGCACAATAGTTCACTAATTTCTCAACCGAAAAACTCTGGAATAAAAACTCCCTCTCCCAAATACAGTAGCTGGGGTGTCTGGCTTTGTGTGTTGTCTTGTCTGTTAAATAATTATAGAGAGTGTTCCCTGAAAACAAGCTAGACGAGGACACTTTAGTTAGTCATGCTTAACTCCAAGCATCTGCTTCTAAAATAGCCCTGCTTGCTGAAAATGGCCTACCTGTACCTAAAACAGGCAAGATCTTTAGGAGGGCAGTACAGTTCAGTATGCCCACTAACCTGTTTGTGTTTTTTCTTCTCCAGTGTGTAAGTATGTGGCAGTAGAGCTGAAATCTGCCTTTGAGGAAACTGGGAAGACCAAGGAGGTGATTGACACAAAGTATGGCTTTCTAGACGGAAAGGGGTCTGGAATCAAGTACACGCAATCGTAAGTGAGTCAGTCAGTGACATCCACTCAGTGGCCCTCCTTGCTGCTCCGCTGGATTAATAAATACCTCCACGAAGAGCATTCACAAGCAGGGGGTGATCTGGCCACCTACCACACTTGGGGGCAAAGGTTGCTTCTCCCTCCTCTAGAGTTATTCGTGTTGGCAAGATATGATGGATGTTGAGTCCCTAGCAGGGTTTGATGGCAGTGGTGCTGCTCCACATGTTACCAAGAATTGCAGATCCGAAGCGAAGTCACGGGGGTTTGTTTGAGCGTAGCAGTGCTGCACAGTTCGAACTCAGGACCTCTGTCATCTGCAGCAAGCTGGACTGAGAGTCTGCTGCTAGCTTTCTGTAGCACTCTGGCAATTCTGTGGCAGCTTCACTTACATTTTGAAAGTAGGCTTTTAATTAATTTTAATAGGCGTATCAGTCCAATGCGCCTGGGTCACTGATGCTAAATTCCATTTCTCTTATGCTTTCCCAACACACTCAACTGTCAACGTGCCTTAGATATCTGCATTGTAGAAGTTGTCATACAAAGGTGGGGATTCTGTAAGCTGAGGAGTGGACGCTTGGGGCTTTGGGTACCTGGGATTGTAGGATAACCATATTAGCTGGATTTTTCTGCTATAGTGGTCAGGGATGAAGTAGTAGCCTAAGTGATGATTATTTAAATTCCAATTCAACTCTAGAGTTAACAGGTCACTGGGAGAGCAGTGGTGCGCTTCCTTAGACCTGCTTCAGACTCTGCCCGCTTGGGCAAACCTCACTGCACCAGTTACATTCAGTTCACGTTTTCTAGCCCTCACAATTGAGAAGGGAAGAGAGCCTTGTAAAACAAGAACTGAGATTCTGAAGCACATTTCTGTGATGAACATTACTGCTGCAGAATACATGGCCCTGATCAGAGCCCTCAGGCAGTCTCTAGGCTAATAATCAAGGCTTGAAATAGCCACTTGCCAACACGAGACTTTTCTCAGCGAGGGGGAAGTTCAAGCCATCAGTTCCTGCAGAATTTCTGCTTCCATTGACCCCCTTCTGCCAGATGTAGGCCGGTGCCAGTCGTCATTGCTGTTAATCTCAATTTTTGTCAAGGCAGTTAGCTCCTCTTGGGGCTGTGCATAGAGACCGTTTGAGCTGAGGCTTAAACAAGACATCTGCCTGCTTCTTAGGTGTTTTGCACAGGAAACCCACTATGCTGCTGCTCAGGGGTCTGCACTGGCTGGCAGTATGTTTCTGGGTGTGGTTCAAAGTAGTGACTCTAACCTACAGAACCCTGAATGGCAGGGGCCACCTGTCTCCCCCTCTGTGACAGCAGAGGTGGAGCCCTTGAAGTGTAAATGGGAAGGGGCTCCTAACAGGATGCTCTCTCAGGGCCTGTTGACTTTGGAAATAGCTTCCCCACCCTTGGTTTGCCACTGCCTGGCTTTGTGAGCTTCCAGTCATGCTGCAAAACCCGCCTCTTCTCAGAGGGAAGGGGTGTGCTGATAAACGGACCAGGTTTGTCCAGTGTGGGCAGTTACTGCTTCAGGATCACTCAGCAGCTTATGCTCCTGTCGGAGGAGGCAGTTCAATTCATGTGGGACGGTATTAATTTTCTAATTGAATGTAATTGTTTTTCAAGACATTGTTAGCTTGAAATCTAGTCACTTTCAGAACTCCAGGGATGTTACCTGCCCCTGAAGCATGTCTGCATTGGAGCTGAAGGGCTGATTTCCTGCACTAACTCTGATCAAGCTAGCATGCTAAAAACAGCTGCCCCAAAGATGATCCTGTCCGATACCCTAGGTATGTACTCAGGGCTGCTAGCCCGCCGGCGCCATCATGGCTACACTTCTATTTTTAGTGTGCTAGCTCAGTCAGAGCTATCGAGAGTATGTCTACTCAAGCTTGACATTACACTTCCAGCTGCAGTACAGACAGACCCTGAGTCCCCCTTGCCAACTTCTGTGGTTTTACAACCACACTCTTCTCTTCAAATGTTTTTCTCCTCGGCCACTGTGAGGAAATACAGATACAAAGAGAAGAAACTGGCTATGGTGAAACAGTAACCCTGGGGGGAGGGATAGCTCAGTGGTTTGAGCATTGGCCTGATAAACCCAGGGTTGAGAGTTCAATCCTTGAGGGATCTGGGGCAAAATCAGTACTTGGTCCTGCTAGTGAAGGCAGGGGGCTGGACTCGATGACCTTTCAGGGTCCCTTCCAGTTCTATGAGAGAGGTATACCTCCATATATTATTTAAAAAAAAAATGGAGGTAAGGTTGCTGTGTACACATGGTGTGTACTGCACACAAAGTAAACACACTTTTCATTTGCCCTGGTTCTAAGTGTTACAAGTAACAATAGTGGGTAAACAACTTCAGGCACCAGTGAGATATTGTAACTTGATGGGGGCCCTTTAATATGTGTCTGGTACCTAGGGTATAAGATTGGGGCTGTACATTATGTTTTGAGCCCTCAAGATTGCAAAGATCTGCCAAACATGAATTGCCTGAGTCTACAGCAGGCAGCTCCAGTCTGTTGCTCAGAGCTTTCCCGTGCCGTGGACGAGACACTGGTGGTTTCACAGCTACTATTCAGACCTTCGAGGGCAAAAATGCACCTTCTAACGTTAGTTCCATTCTGCTGCTGCTTGGCAAAGCTCTGGGCAGGAGCAGAGGCTGTCTCTGGCGCTAGCAACATGGGATAAGGACCAGAAAATGAAGGTTGTGATGGGGGTTATGCAGCAGAGACCTCTTCTCCCCACACCTCCCTTGCAGTAGCCAGGAGTCTCTGGGAGAGGAGAGAGGTTGCCAGGATGCTGTGATGGAGGAGACCGTCCCTCTTTCAATAGCCAGATGGAGGTAGGGGGAGCACAGGGGTGGAGCCCCCACCCCTTTACGGTAGCCAGGGGCTGTGGAGGTAAGAAGGGGGATCTTTTTCCTGTTGGCACTTGGAGGGAGGAGGGTTTGCAGGCAGGCAGTGGCGTTCCAGTTGATTAAACACTTGCCATCAAGAGGCCGATACCTTCTGGAAGGTGGAGCCTTTAAGCCAGCCCAGGACCAGCAAGCTGCAGAGACTAGCCACTTCCCCAGCCCCCTCATCTTGTGTCCATCTCTAGACAGTGGTCTTAGTCCTCGAGCTAGAATTTTTGTAGCCCTGTTAATGGACTGTAGCCTTTCTCGTGGAGTGGTACTAAATCCTTCCCCGTTTCACCAACTTTTCCTCGGGGCAGGGATATCCGACTGATCGAGGTGACAGAGACCATCTGCAAGAGACTGTTGGACTATAACCTGCACAAAGAGAGAACTGGCAGTAACAGGTTTGCAAAGGTTTGTACCATTGCTTGTTCCCTCTCGCTGGAGCTTTAGTCAGACGCCCCTAGGCCTTGCCTTGCCGAGAGCATCCATGTTTGTGTCCTTGGTCTGCATCTGCGAAACAGATTTCCCAGGTACAGAATTAGCTTCTAATGGAAGCTGCTCTGTTCTCTCCCTCCCTCAACTTGTTAGTGTAACCACCTCTCCATGGCCCTGCTGGTGGGTGGCATGCAACCAAGAAGCCTGGTGGGGCGGTGTAGCAGACCTATTCTCATGGCTGGAGTGGGGGGTGCTCAGGAAGGTGTGTACTGAATGGCTTCTCCCACCTCTGGTTTGGGATCAGGTGCCGATTAACAATTCCATTGTCAAAGTGTAGGTCGAGATTGCTAGCAGCCCAAGTTAACGCGCCACTCCAGGAATGTTAAAGCTAAGGATAGTCCCATCCTCTTGACTGTCCCGTGTCTGTTTGCGCTGTGGCTTTGCACCTGCCAGGGTTTCAAGGGAAACAGTGTGATCTGCTATCAGTGTGGCAGAGAAAGCTGTGAAACCCTGAATCTTGCAAGGCCTGTGCACAAGGGGGCAGAGTGTCCCAGAGAACCGTTTGGGTTTGGTTGGGTTTGCCTTTCCCAAAGGCCCTTCGTGCAGTCTCAGGGCTGGGCCCAGGGGTCATGCCTGTGATGGAAGAGGTAGGGTTCTGTAGAGACTACATCAGCCCAGAGAATGACCTGGGGCTTTAGCAATGGGGAAGCAAGGCTTCCCTTTCCAAAGGACTGTGTGGTACTGCTGTGCCTTAGTCAATCCCCACGGTGACTTTATCCTTTTACAGTCAGGCCTGTCCCTTTAGCGGTCCCCTCTCCGCTCACATCCAGGCCACGTCTGAGTCCTGCCACTGCTTCCTCTGGAACGCTGCTGGAATCCAGCCTTTTCTGCCTGTTCAGACAGCCAAGCCTCGTCACGGGCTGCCAAGGACTGCATCCTCCTTGCTACCCATATTGCACCAGCCATTTGAAAGAGGGCTGCTAGGACCATCTTCCCTGGCCATCGCTCACACTGTCACCCTCCTATGAGTCCCTCCCCTGACTCCACACCAATAGCAAGCTGCTTGACCTTTAGGCCCTCCCCAGCTCTGCCCCTCCCCTCTTATATCCTCTCCCCCTTCACCAGGGATGCAGGCTCTTCCTCCGGCTTGTCTGCTCCTCATGTATGGAACGTCCTCCCCAAACTGAACCAGACAGCTACTGCCCTCTCCTCCTTCAAACCCTGCATCTAGAACCAGGACGCTGACAAGGAATCAGCCACCGCGTTAGCTGCCTTGGGGGCAGATGAGGAAAGTCCGTGCTCATTCAGTCATGGAAGCACACACTTCAAATAAGTGTGAGAGCCTTCTCCCCTGCCCTCCTCCTCAGGCTGGTCATCTTCGGTGGCATGTTCTTCATGTCTGTCCAGCAGCAAGCGTGTTAGGGTCCTAGTCCAGCTGGAGCTGCTGGGTGCCGTACAGAGGAGGGCGGGTAGCAGATAAGGCCCAGGCTTTCACACCCTCCTGAGAAGTGAACAGGCTGCTCAGCCACTTGCCCCTGAGGCTTCTCCCTTCACGCTGCACTGGTCCAACAACTCCTGGTGTGGGTGCAGGTGCTGCACCCCCTCTTCTGCAGGGCTCTGAGCTGGCGCCCATGTAGGGGAGCTGTGTGTGAGATCTCCTCTCTCCTTGAGTTCCTGGTGGGTGGCGCAAGCGTCGTGTGTGTGGAGCTGGGATTCTGCCCGTCCCCGAAGGTGGGGCACTCAGGTTACTGTGTCTCCTTAGGGAATGTCGGAGACGTTTGAAACCCTGCACAACCTGGTGCACAAGGGGGTGAAAGTGGTGATGGACATCCCCTATGAGCTGTGGAATGAGACCTCTGCTGAAGTGGCTGACCTCAAGAAGCAGGTACTGTCCACACGGTAGCACAGTGTCACTGGGGGTGCTAGCGCAGAGTGCAGTAATGGCTGGGAGGCCTGTGCTGCAGTGTCTAGGACTCTTTCTGCTGGGCCGGGGGAGATCTGGGAAGATGGGCTCAGGCTGGGTGGGGGTGTTGTACTCCAAGAGTTCACTGCAGCGTATGAGCAGTCCCTCTTTGTGAAGCTCGTCCTGGAGCTGCGCTTGCTCCCCACATTGTGAGGGGCCCAGGGAGTGGGGTTAGTAGGAAGGTCTCCTGGTGCTGGACTGTGCTTTCTGTCTGCACTAGTGTGATGTGCTGGTGGAGGAATTCGAAGATGTGATCGAGGACTGGTACAGGCATCACCAGAAGGAAGACCTGGCTCAGTTTCTCTGTGCGAACCATGTGCTGAAAGGGAAAGACACAAGTGAGTTTCACTTCAGCAAATACAAGGGGGCATTGGCCTCCAAGCAGAGGCAGCACGCGTGCTCCAGTGCCAGGGTGATGGGTGCAGCAGGGGAGTCCGAAGAGCATTGAAACACTCTCTGTGTGAGCAGGAAGGGGGCACAGGGTGGGGAGAGGAAACCTGACAGACTCACTCCTCCCTTTTCTCCATGATGTCATCCCTGCAGGCTGCCTGGCAGAGCAATGGGCCAGCAAGAAGGGAGATGTAGCGACCGCGGGGGAGAAGAAGACAAAGAAAAAGGGTGGCAAGAACAAGAAAGCAGCAGAGAGGAAAAAGAAAAACAAGGAGAAGGTTGAGGAAGCAAAAAGCCACCTGGACCCAAGTGCTGAAGGGAGCCCTGAGGAGGAGGGGGATATCCAGCCGAAGGCTCCCCTTGCGCACAGCCCAGCTGACGAGCTGTAGTCTCTTAGACGCTGCACGCCGATTTGCAGCCCATGGTAGGGACAGCGAACGCTCTGGACACGTGGGATATTGGATGCGCTCTGGGCCTCGCAACAGCCAGTTGCCTCACAAGACGGTGACCCCTTATTTACTGAAGGGAAATAAATTAGAACTCTTCTAATTTATTGCTCCAAGGGCGGCTGGGTGGAGATCTCGCCGTAGCTAGTCAGCATTACCGTGAGCTGCGGTACCACATGGATCACAGATGTGGAGTACCAGCGGCTGTCAGAGACCCCTGCACACGCAGGGCAGCTGGGCCGGACAGGAGATGCCTCCTGAGTATGTGGAGCTTGTTAAACTCCTCTTAATACTTCCTAGACAATACAGATCCTGCCTTTAGCGGGAGAGACCTTCCACCCTCTGCTCTTCTCCCTGCCGCCTCTGTCCCAGCTTGATTGTATTGATGAGGGGGTCTGGAAGTGGGAGAAAGGAGTCTGGTTTGCTCACGGCGGAGCCCCTGGCTTTTGTCTGCAGCTGCCCCCAGGGCAGGGAATTTGGCAGTGGCTTGGAAGGAGAGTGGCTTCTGCGTGGCCAGCCTGGCGGGTTTGGACAGAGTCTGTTCCACGAAGGCTGGGCCCAGTCCTGCCCTCCCCTACGCCAGGCAGTCCCACTGAGCTTGCTGGGGTCCCACGATGAGTTATCCTCCCGCTCTGCAAGCTTGCTGCCCACCTCTCTCCCGTAGGACCATTCCATTCAGGAGCAGCCATTCCAGCTTCCTGGAAGCCTGTGGTTCCTGCTGTTGCTGCAGAGAGGGCCCTTCACCCCTCTGCTGATGTCCTGTTCCATTTGGTCTAGCTTTCACTGTCCCATCTGCACCGTGGACAGCAGCTCCTGGCTTTGCAAGGAGGGGCTCCCTTGTATTTTATGCAGTTCTTTGCTACCTGTTGGCGGTTTCTCTTAAAGTGCCAGTAGATATTAACACCCTCCCTGTGGGGTGTGGGAGCAGGACCCACCATGGCCTGCAGGGGCACCCAGCTAACTTCAAATGCAGTCTTAGTCCCTCCTGCATGTGCCCAGGAGCCTCCCATCAGCTCTTACCGCTCATCAAAGCACGTGGGGACCCCAGCCTGGGAGTGGGGTTAAGTCTGGTCCAGTCCAGCCAGGCTGACCTGTGATCTCGGCACTGCAGCTCACTGAGAGAGCTGTTCTGCTAGAAGTAGGTATGTTTCTGAGTGCTCTTGCGTCCCACCAGCTCGATCTTGTGTCATGGAATATTCCCAGGTAGTGAGAGACTCATTGGTCTGACCCTGTTTTTCAGGCTAGTGAGCGACTGTTGGTTCCCTCCCCCAGGCAGGGCACCATACTCCAGGCACTAGCACTGCCAACTCTTGCCACTGTATCACAGGTCTCGTGGTATTTGGTGTTTTCTTTAAAACCTCAGCTCCTGGCGTCATGGGGTTATGTGAGAATCTCCGCTTTAGAATGAAGCTGTTTCTAGCCCTCGTGGCTGCAGGGGACAGCTTGAAAGTGTCACCAGTGTGACCTGAAAGGCTCAGAAGTCAAAGAGAACCCCAAATGTGTGGTGGTTTTTAATCCTCTTGTGGGGATTGTTGGGGGCTAGCCCCTGGGTTCTGAATGGGGAGGGTTGGCCCTGCCACTTAACCGCAGCCCAAAAGGCACACTTGGAACTCGGCTTAGAATTATTTTTAAGCAAGGCGGCTTTACACCACTTCCTGCTGTGGAGTAATCCTGTCATGCAATTGACTGACTGCAGCGGGAGTGGGGGTGGGTCGGTACGGCTGGGCACGGGCGACGGGGAGGAATGAACGAGAATATCTGGTGTGACAAGAGTTTTTGTCCTTTCAGTTTCGTTCTATGGCAACTCCAGCAGTTACTATAACTGTACACTGGAATCTGTTACCCAAAGCAAGGGACTTGGCATTCTAGTTAGCGAAACTGGCCTGAAGCAGCTGAGAGCCTCATGGCTACCAGCCCTCTCTCTTCTGGAAGGTTATCCTCTGATCACCTTTGTCCTTCTCTCTTCCCCATACAGTCCTCCCTTCCTCTTATTTTTCTCTTGACAAATAGCGTAGCTTCCCCTTGACCCACTCCTGATGTAGGATTGGCCTCTTCACCTGTGCGGGCTCCCAGCTACTGCTAGACATTGGCATCTGCTTCTCAGCACTAACACGTCTCCTGCTAAGAGCTGCTGCTGGGTTGCCCCTGGGCAGCCAGCAATGTGCCGGTGGGGTGATGGGCCACTGTGCATTCGGGAGAGGCGCTCCATGCTCTGAGCAGGGCAGGGTATGCCATACAGACCCCCAGGCCCTGGCACATGCACAGCGGTGAGATGCTGCAATGCAACCCTTCCCTCTACACTTCCCAGCTCTTCCCCCACTCCGTGGCGATGTGAGACAGCGAAGTGCAGCACCCACGCAGAGAGATCACAAGAAAATGCTCTGTGGGCCTTCAGCAGAAACAACCCTCCAGTAAAGCTGCTGCTGGAACATCCTAACAAGAGACTCCAGCCCTACCACAGAGCCTGGCTTATTGCTTTGTTTTTGATCCATGCCTCTCACCCCTGTGTTCTAGGTGCTTGTCTGGCCTTGAGCCCAGTTCCAGGTGGGGTTGTTGAGCCCAAGGTGAGGCTCCTAGGGTTTGTTTGCACATTGTGTTTGATTCCCCTAGTGCTTTGCAGTGGGAGGAGTGTTTGCTGCTTTGGCCAAGATACAACAGATGTCCAGGGTACTTCCCTGACTTGCTTAGCGGGGTGATCAGTTCTGCTCTGCTGCCACGTAGCTGTTTGCATAATTGCAGCCGAAGCCTTTGTCAGGGTTTGTGCCAGTAAGTGTGATGCAACTAGGGCAGGCCCTTGCCAGGTGCAGCTCGCTGACCATAAACACTGAGGGGGAGACAAAGCCCAGGTCCAAGCCAGAGTAACTGCAGCCATTGAGACGCCCAGAGATTGCCTGCAGACGTCTGGAATAGGAGCACGGGAGAGTTTCTCAAATGAACGGGAATCTTAAGACTTGTTATCAAGAGCACTGCAGCAAACTGGGCCTGCCCTGGGAACGATGCTGAGATAGCATCCAGCTGACTTCAGCCTGAACCCCAAGCTGTACAAACCCCTGTGCTGGACAGAGGGAACCTGTCTCGGACAGAGACCCAAATCCGTCTGTTACATGGCAGCAGCCTTGAGATGGCTCAGAGAGGCTGCAGGGTTTCCATAGGCGGGCATGGCAGGGAGCTGGTGCATGCACAGGGCAGGGAGGGTGCAGGGGCTCTTTTTATGCCCGACCCAACACAGGACAGTCAGGCCCTGTTTGCAGTTTGGCTCAGCACCTCACTGTTCTCAACAGGCTCGTGGGTGATGGTACCATCCTAGTCCTCCCTGGGCTAGGCTGGATTACAGAACCCAGCCAGTGGTGACAGAGCAGTAGCTGATAGCCTTTCCCTAGGGTGCTCCTATTAACCTCTCATTTTTCTTCCCCTGCCTCCCCAGCTGGCTAAATTTCGGATGAGCAGTTGTATCTTAAATGTCTAGGGCGCTTTTGGCTCCATAGCCAGCTCTCTTGTGGTGGTGTAGAGTGGCCTGTGATCCTATGTGAATCTGGTTAATGGTCACATAGTTTCAACCTGAATTCACTCTTGTGTGCTATGTGCGGTTATTTTTAAATAAACTCCAAGTCTGTTAATGGTTTGTTTGTCCTGGTTTCTAAGTATATTAACCCATCTCACCTCTCTCTCTTCCCAGCTGGAATTTAACCTTAATCCCATGTTTATCTCAAACATTAGGCAGCTGCAGTTGTGATGCCAAGAGAACAAAGGTCTGAACTTCAGGTCAGAACTGGGCACCTACTCTGAATGGTGGGGATGAGGAGGTGCTGTGGTGTAACCCAGAATCCTCTGCGTTTCTGCAGTCAAACCCCTTCTTTCTAGATCTGTGGACAGTAGCATTGTGTATAGGAACCTGACTCCTAGTCTCCTGTTGGGTGTATGAATTGACACTGATCTAGCAAATTGATGGTGGGGTCAGTGTGGGATACTTGCTAAATCTTCCCCTCATGCAACACAATGAAGAATGTTAATGTGAATTGGACGACTGGGAGATATGTGCAAACAGAAGCTTCCAAAGTCCCAAGAATGGGACTCACTGAAGTATAAGTCTGAGTTGGCTGAAAGCTGTAAACACAAAGTATGGCAAATTAAAGGGGAAAAGCAAAGTTTACCAGCCCTCCCTCTAAGCTGTATCTCAGGGGAGTAACCCGTGTGCACTTCACACCTCGCTACGGGTGCCCAAGAAATGGAAATCCCTTCCCATGGGAAATGTTATTTTTGGAGAAAAGTCCCAACTTGGGACAAAAAGCCAAACCCTAGCATTTTTCACTGGAAGGGAGGTCTGGAAACAATCCATTCCAGAAGAACCCAAACAGAATTGTTCAGCTGCTGGGACTGGCTGCCTGGAAGGCAGCGAATGAAATTGACAAGGAGCTTTCCAGGCTGGTGACTGGAGAAACTGGTCTGGGCGACTCTGAGCTGGGGCAGGAGCAACTCCTGGCAGTTTCATTTTCTGCCTTTTCACTTTCTGCTGCTTGCTATGGAGCAGGGAGCAGCTTTATTTCTGAAAGTTCCACCCAGAACCGCTGAGCCACTTCCAAGGATGGAAAGTGAAACATTTCATTTCTCAGGCTTTTTT